AAGAAGCCACACTCATACATGCTCTCGTAAATGGTACAAAAGTCATCAAATAAAAGATGTGGAGTCAACAGCTGTGGAGTTTATTGTGGTGGACTACTGTCCACAAATATAAATATGCACTCTGCATGGCTTTTTACAATTTCGAGTCCAAAAAGTCGCTTTGCTGCACACCTTCCTTTTGGTCTACATGAAATTGCACACTGTTACCACATCCAGTTTTTCATGTGCTAAAAATCGTACTTACCTAAAGGGCTACATGTCCAAAATTATTGCTACGTGTTCCTAATTAATCAATCTTTGTATATTTATTGATTCCTACAAAATTGGGCCATGTAATATTAAAATTAGCACATTTTTCTGCATTGTTTACAAATTTTTATATGCGTTTTGGCATTTCTCTCTCGAAATTGCACCAAGATGACGTCACGCAAAAATTACGCTCAAAAATCCTCTCTCATTGGCTTAATCTTGTATTCTATCATTCTTGATCGGTTGGCAACTTCTCGCTCTAATTCCGCCATATTGACTGCCTTAGCTGAAACCGTGTTACTTCTTTAACAATTCTTTGTCTGATAATATAGTTTATTTTTTTTTCCCAGTATACGCATTTTCGAATTCTCTTCAAATGTTATGTTTCTTTACATAAAATTTTCTTCTTGAATGAAATGCATGTGAATATTCACTCACATTTCGAAATCAATTCCTTCAAGTTAAAATTATAGTACGAAATGTTATGTCGCTCCGCTGGGTATACCGCACTATGCGGCACCGGAACTGCGCGACGCCACGCGACGCGATATTTTTGCCTAGTTGGTCAACTTTGCCGCGCAGCGTTGCGTCGCGTAGCTCCGCTGCAGCGTAGTGCGGTATGCTCCATAAAAATCCATGCAAAGAATATTTTGCTCCGCTGTGTAGTGTCGTGTCGCGTCGCCTAGTGCGGTCGTACCTTAAGACGTACCTCGGCGAAAATCTAAATTCGCCACCAACACCACCTTGTATAAATTCGCCTTGATTTCCACGTCAGCCAGCGCAGAGTTGCAGTTTCCTCACGGCAAATTCAAAATAACCTTGGAAACTAAATAAAAAATCTTAAAATTTTTTTGATTTTTATGTTGCAAAATTTATTTTTCAAAATGCATTGT